CATCTATTATGACTCTGGGGTCCTGCAGGATACTTTGTTTCCCTGACCCTCACTTTCCTCAACTGTGAAATGGGAGGATTTGACCAGATCAGAGTTCCTCTTGTGCCATAGATCTCTTTGGTGGTCTGAGCAGTCCTAGAGAGCCTTTCCAAGTACCATGTTTTTAAACACATAAGATAACACCTACAGTATTACAAAAGAAATCAATTATATTGGAATATAATTATTAAAAAATATTCCTGGATTCCAGGTTATGAATCCCTGGATAAGATAATTGCTAAAGTCTCTTCGTATTCTCAATCTATAATCCTATTTAATGGATTTATATTTTTAAATACAAAAAAAAGGAAAAAGTCAGCATTGATCAATACATTGAAAAAGGCTGCATGGACTTCCTGCTCCTGCAGAAGGACTCTGTGGACTGGGAGAATCTCATGTCTGAGCTATCCTTGCTCTTTGTAATTTTGAAACTTTCACTTCTGATTTTTTGTTCTCTCCATTACCATCCTTGGAGTCTTTGTCTCTGGTTCCCTTGGCTCTGCTGACTTCAGTCTGCATCAGTGCATAGAAGTCTTCCATGCTTCTCTCTGGTCATCACATTCTGCATTTCTTACAGGACAGTGATGTTCCGCTGCATTCGTGAAGCACAATTTTCTTAGCCTTTTTTTTTTCCTTTGTGGTGTGTTGGTAGATTTTATGTTTTTCTTTCAGTTTTATTTAGTCCAAGTCATGGCAGAGAGCTTTAGTTTGCGGTCTGATCAGGGCCTTTTGAGAAGAGATTTTGGGGGGGTGAACATTGGGTTAGGGATGAGGGGTGTTCTGGTGACTGCACTTCTCTGGTGAGGAAACTCCCATTGGCACCTTCTCCACCATTTGGAGTCTTAGAGAGTGTAGATTTGTCGAGGGTCACACAGCTAGTATGTGATAGGGTCAGGACCTAAGCTCTCTTGGTTTCTAGCCTAGCTCTCTGACCATGAGGCTTTACCATCTCCCACTGAATTGGAAAATGCAATTCAATTCAGCAGTCATTATTAAACAGCAGCTATGTGTCAGGTTTTATGTTATGTGCTAGGGTAACCACAACAATAATTTAAAAAACAAACGACAAAGCAGTCCTGGCCTTCAGGAAATGTATGTGAGGGAGAAGGGAGCAGCATGCATGCAATTAAACAAACACAAAATTCATACCAAGTGACTGGGAAGCCTTGGCTGGCAGTGGGGGAGGGGTGGGAGAACAAGGGAGAGGAAGGATCCTGTAGGAAGGATGAGCTGAGCCTGGGATTCCAAGAAGTAGAGGAGAGTAGGGAGATCTTCCAGATGGTGGGAGATGGTGTGGAAGATGTGGAGAAGTGAGCTCTGAAGTCCTCCACTTGGATCCCCTGCCTTTATTCTATTTATGTTATCATTATAATTAATAACAATATAATTATAATATACTATAATGTAATTATCATATTATAATACAATAGCATTATCTATAATATAATAAAATCATGTATTATTCTGTTTATTTTCTTAATATAAGCCCAGAAAGGTTAGGTGAGTTTCCCCCACACACACAGCATGATAATGGTCAGTTGGGGGCTGGCCTCCAGGTGGCCAGGCTTTAGGCCTGCGCTCATGGTGGCCGTCTTCACAGGCCTCAGTGTCTGTCCTGCACAAGAGTGAGTGGATTTCTTGTTCCTCCATAGGGTAGAATTAGGACTGAGTAGATGGGGACTGGAGGGGTCAGGTTTCCAGTTGGGGTGCCATTAAGTTCTTCTCTTGCTAACTTGTTGCTTCATTCAGGGTGAAATCTCTTTAGGAAGGTGGTTGGTTTCCACGCTGTCCTGGGCTCAGTGTGACCGACCCCTGCCGCAGTTCACGTTGTGGCCTCAGCCTCCAGCCAGTTAACTCTCTCTAGGCATAGCTGAGTCAGCCCTCCTCCCAGCCTCTTATCACCCAGCCAAGACCCAGTTCCATCTGGCCCTTTAAATCCCCCACTGACCTGTTAGATGAGAGAGAATGGGGTAACTAAGAAGGGGTGGGGATGGACTCTTTGGGGCCCCTGCCAACATTTCTGCTGGTGCCGTCAGCTCAGTCTCCCCAGTCACCACTCTTGGGAGAGCCAGGGATGGAGCAAAGGGTGAGGCCAATGATGAGGCCAGGATGCTCGGACTTCCATTTTCCACTGGAAGTTAGGCATTTGGCTCCCAAGAATGGGCATTCTTGGTTAATTTTTGCAGTAATCCAGTCATGAAGAGCTGAGGGCCTGGGCTAGGGCAGTGGAGGGTCATAGGAGCATTGCTTTTGAGCTGGAAGGGACCCCAGAGGTCATCAGTCCACCCCATTTTACACACATAGAAAACTGAGACCCAGAGACCTTTGGTGTCTTGTCCAAGGTCACATGGGTGGTAATCGGCACAACTAAGATTTGAATTCAGGTCCTCAGACAGCCCTCAGAGAGGACTAGTGAATTGGAATGGAAGGGTGGAGATGCCATTTTGAGGGGAGCGTTGCTATGACCTGAGGATTCACTGGGAGGAAGGCAGTTATTGAATTATCAGTGCTGAGCTTTCTAGCCTTTGGGGGACAAGCTCTAATGCCCCCTTCCCTAGTTAACAGAAGCCCCCTCTCTCCAGTGCAGGTCCTAATCTGAAGGAGTGGCTGCGGGAACAGTTCTGTGACCACCCCATTGAGCACTGTGAAGACACGCGCCTGCACGACGCGGCCTACGTGGGCGACCTGCAGACCATTCGCAGCCTGCTGCAGGAGGAGAGCTTCCAGAGGTGGGTGCTGTCCTCTCTTTCCTTGGTACCCCAGCTACTACTTCCCTCCATGCCCTCTCTCTCCCCCCGACACTGAATGATGCTTCCCAGAGCTCGTGAGAGGCCAGGCCTGGGGCTGCCTAGAGACTTCACTTTGTCAGAAGAACAAGGTGGAGTGGGGAATTGAATAGAGTGATGGAGAGATGTGGGTTCAGATCCTGTCACCTACCTGCTCTGTGACCCTCAGCAAGTCTCTGAGCTTCCCGAAGCTCCCTAAGACTACAAATCACAGACAGTTGACAACCTGCATTGATGAATGAGTTAGCACACCAGGCGTTCCCACCCCTCTGAGTGTTCTTGACATGTATTAGCCGCCTGATATGGAGCTGGCAGGGACCTGAGAGGTTATCTGCTCCAACACGTCTTACAGATGAGGAAGCTGAGGTCCAAAGAAGCTGAATTCCTTGCCCACACACAGCTGGTAAGAATCAGAATCAGGATTTGACTCAGATCTTCTTGACTCTAAGTGCAGTTTTCTGTTGATTACGTTACATATTATGCCACCTAGTCCTGAAACCCACAAAAGGAAGTATCATAAGATCTCACATGTAGAGCGGGAGGGGCGTCAGTGAGGGCATCATTTTACAAATGAGGAAACTGAGGCTTGGAGAAGGCTTGGTGACACTGAGAGTGTTGGTATACCAAGTCCTGATCCTACCTTATACCTAAATAGAAAGACCGGGTGATTCCATTTTCACGTAAATCCTTGTTCTTGGGTGTGGAGGGGCCGGTTACTCCGAGGTACATGACCAGCACCTAAAGGAAGCTAGGGAGTCTAAGTGTAGAAATAAGGAGGGGGTCCCCTCTGGGCTGGAGGGCCATGAGCTAGCCTGTGTGAAGGCACTGAGGAGGAGGCAGAGGCTGAGGTTAAAGTGTGTACAGGAGAGTGATGTGAATTTGGCCTGGCAAGCGAACTGGAGATGGATGGGGGAGGGCTTTACATGCCAGCCAGGGGCTTTGTGTTTGAACCTAGAAGTACAAGGAACCATGGAAGATTTTGAGCAGGATAATCAAATAAATGCCTAGGCCTGTGTTTTAGAAAGATTATTTTTTTGAAACGGAGAGGGTGCCCATGAACAAGGGGATGGCTGAACAAGGTGTGGTGTATGATTGTAATGGAATACTATTGTGCTATAAGAAATGATAAGCAGGCAGACTTCAGAAAAACCTGGAAAGACTTGTATGGTCTGATGCTGAGTGAAGTGAGCAGAACCAGGAAACGTTGTACACAGTAACAGCCATGTTGTGCGATGACAAATACTGATAAACTTAACCCTTCTCAGCAATGCAAGGGTCTAAGACAATCCCAAAGGACTCATGATAAAAAATGCAATCCACCTCCAGGAATAGAACTGATAGAGTTTGAACAAAGATCAAAGCATGCTATTTTTACTTCCTCTCTCTCTCTCTCTCTCTCTCTCTCTCTCTCTCTCTCTCTCTCTCTCTCTCTCTATCTATCTCTCATCTGTGTTCTTTTGCAGCTTGACTAATATGGAACTGTTTTGCATGACCTCACATGTATGACCTATGTCAAATTGTTTGCCTTCTCAAGGAGGGGGGATGGAGGGGAGGGAGAGAATTTGGAACTCAATTTTTTTTAAATTTATGTTAAAAATTGTTTTTATGTGTAATTGGGAAAAAATATTTTTAAAAGAATTTTTGAAAGATTATTTTGATAGCTGTGTGGAGGATGGATTGGAGTGAGGAAAGACTAGAAAGAAACTTGGAGCCCCATTCATCAGTTGCACGTGTTGAGTCTTGTAGTGTTCACATGGCCCAGTCTCCTGGTCCAGTCTTACACTGGAAGTCTCCTGTGGGCAGTGGTCATGTCTCATAGCCCTTCTGTCCTCTCCTCTCCCCAGGCATGGAGAAAGTAGATGTTTTGTATGTAGTTGAAACATGGAGCTGAGAGAACCTTAGAAATAAGCCAGTCCAACTCCCCCATTTTGCAGATGAGGAAACTGAGGCTTAGAGAGGAGAAGGGATTTTTCTCAAGGTCACACACTGATTAATTAAGAGACAATTCAAACCCAGTTGCATATAAATTCCTGGAATACTAGAGAGAGTTTCATTTCTGTCTTTGGATATTTAACTTTTATACAGTGCCCGGCACTCGGTGCAAAATAAATGTGTGTTGAACTGACTTAGATTTTGACTCCAAATAAATTATTCTCTCTGCTCTACCTCAACTCTCACATTTTTTTACAGATGAAGAAACTGAGGCCAAGAAGAGTTAAGTGACTTTTCTTGTGATGAGGTTACACAGTTTAATTGATGAATTGCCAGGTCACCCATTCTAATGACGAGCTGCTTCCCCAACAGCGGCTTAGAGATTCCATCTCCTGTCCTCACGGGTTGTTGCATGTTCCGTCATCATGGGCGACATCAATGTTTAAAGGGCAGAGCTCAATCTGAGAAGGGTGGTCATCACACAGCCTTGCCAAAGGGATTAGTTCCCCGTGCCGATAGGATATGAGCTCAGGCCAAAGTCAACCCCAGCGAGCTTTGGCTGCAGCTGCAGCTGGACACCACACAACCCAAGAGGAAGACCTACCTGTGGAACTGAAGCTTTTGCTTTTCTCTCCGGGTGTTTGCGTTTCCCCATGTGTGCCCCTCCCCTCCCCACCCCCCGAATCAGGCTGGGAGGTACTTTGGTTGCTGTTGGCCTGGCCTCTGGAAGGGGAAGGGGAGAGGATCTGATCTTGGCCCTCCCACTAACCTGCTGTGTGGCCTTGGGCCACAGGGTTCTTCTCCGTAAAAGGAAGGGGTCAGACTGATTTCAAGGGCGGGGGTCCAGTGTCCATTTCAGGGGGTCACTGCTTTGATTTGAGAAACTCCTGATTGGATCTTTTATTCCTTTTTATCCCAAGGAAGATTACTGATGAGTTTATCAATGAAATGTGAGAAAGGACGGACAGGTCAAGAGCTCTCCTGGCCCCAGCTCTCCTCTTTGCCTACTGTGTGTCACAAAGATGTTTTCCATGCCTAGCCCTTGTTCTCAGCCACTGTGCGCTCCTGTGGTGGTTCTGATTAGCGCTGAGCCATGCCAGGGTAGGCCGAAGGAGGGCAGTGTAGATGAGGGTAGGCAGAGGGTCCTCTCCCATCACTAGTTGGAAAAAACTCTGGACTCTGGGTCAGTGCAGTGACTGTAGGCCAGTCGTTCACTCTTCGTGTCCCTCAATTTCCCCAGCTCCAAAATTATTCAGAAGTATTTGCTTTTCATGTTGTACCTTGTGGCCCAGGGACCTCCAGAAAACAGACTTGACTAGCAGCATTACCTTGATCTAGTCACTTAACTCTCTGTGCCTGTTTCCTCATCTATATAATATCATGGCCTGGGGCCCATGGGCCTCTAGAAGAGACTCTGGGCTCTCATGGACCGGGTGCCGTCTATGGAACTTCAGCCCAACTGGTTATTTTTCTTCCTTCATCTCATCAAACCCACGTGGATCATTCTAAGGAAATCTCTAAGGTAAAAATGAGGTATAACTCATGATGAAGATGTCCTTAAATGAAGGTGGCCAGGTCCCCAGACCCTTCACAGGTGAAGCCTGAACTGAGTCCTAAAGAGTGCTAAGCTTCAATCTTGGGCTGAATCCTGACTACCGTTTACTATCTGTGTGAAATGGGTCAACTTTTTATGCTCACTGAGCTTCAGATTCTGACTCTCTGACGTGAGGGACTTAGAGAGGATGCCTTTGGACGCCCCTTCTCTCTCCCAATCTGGGCTCCTCTGGGACTGTGGTGGAGACAACAAGGGGGATATTCTAGTCACGGGCAACTCCTTATGCAGAGGCACACAGTCGGGAGATGAAATATGTACAGGGCATAGCAAATAGGTCAGCCTGTTTGGAACAGAGAGTGTGGGAGGAGCGAGACTCTGAAAGACTCTAGATGCCAAATAGAGGATTTCATGTTTTATCCTAGAGGCAATAGGGACGTCGCTTTATCTCTCTGAGGGAGCCTCCCTCAGCTTCCTCTCTTTTAAAGATGATCCCTAAAATCCCCTGCAGCTCTGGTTGATGTCCCATCTCTGACTTGTCACACCATGGCTTCTTTGCCTCGTTTCAAGCCTTAAGGGTAGATCTTATGTTAATAGCTATAAAAACAAGACTCAGTTTCCTTATCTGTCAAATGGTGAGAGAGTGGAACTAGGCAATCATTAAAGTGCTTCCCACTCTGTGTTCATTATGCCTGGAACTCATCTATATCTGTGTCTTTGTCTGTTTCTAACCCACGGCCATGTCTTTGTTTGGTCTGTTTCCATCTAAAGATGAATTCATCTGCCTCACCTGTTTTTAGGGCTCACTCCAACAAAGCTGAACTTTCTGTTTCTGCTCTCTTCTCAGCCGGATCAATGAGAAGTCAGTTTGGTGCTGTGGCTGGCTTCCCTGTACCCCACTGCGCATCGCAGCCACTGCAGGCCATGGGAACTGTGTGGATTTCCTGATTCAGAAGGGGGCTGAGATTGACCTTGTGGACGTGAAGGGACAGACTGCCCTGTATGTGGCAGTGGTGAATGGGCATCTGGAATGTGCCCAGATCCTCCTGGAAGCTGGAGCCGACCCCAATGGCAGCCGACATCACCGCAGCACCCCGGTGTACCATGCCTCCCGGGTGGGGAGAGCTGACATTCTGAAGGAGCTGATCAGGTAAGTGAGGGCAATGAGACAGACGCCATGGCTGTGATGATCCTTAATTGTCCAGAGAAGGAAAGTGAGGCACAGACAAGCTCAGTGACTTGCCGAGGTACATATAGCAATTAAATGTCAGAAGCAGGATCTGAACCCAGGTCTCTCTTAATTTCTAATGATTCTGTGAATCTCTTAATTCAAGGTAGCCCAAGCAGAATCTAATGAGGCCAGACCAGTGATCAGTACTCTCTGTCACTGAGGGACAGACAGCCTTGTGAGCCGTACCGTTTCTCTGACCCCGTCTCTGTGACTTATAATCCCTATAGCTTGTACTTCGTGTGGTCCTGCACCCCCTTAGAGAATGTAAGAGCAACAGCAACAGCAACGACATTTATTGAACATCGGCTGTGTGCCGGGCACTGTGCTAAGCACTTTACAAGTCCTCACGGTCACCCTGGGGAGTGGGTGCTATTATTATCTTCATTTACAGTTGAGGAAACTGAGGCAAACAGAGGTTAAATGACTTGCCCAAAGTCACAGAGCTAAGGATCTGAGGCAGGATTTGAACTCAAGTCTTCCTGACTCCAGGCCCAAAAATCCAAGTTGACTGGAAACTTTGAACTGACTGAGGATGCCACATTCAGCTGCTCTGCCTTCTCCAGAAAATCCGACTGAGAAATCCTCCCGGCCTCCTGACGTGACCACCACTAGAATGGTGCGAACGACATTTAACATGAGGCTCTCAGCCAGTGTCACGCTAGAGAAAGCACTGGGCTTGGAATCGGGAAGACTCCTCTTCTTGAGTTCCAATCTGGCCTCAGACACTTCCTAGCCATGTGGCCCTGGGCAAGTCACTTCAGCCTGTCTGCTTCAGCTTCCTCCTCTGTAAAGTGAGCAGGAGAAGGAAATGGCAAACCACTCCAGTATCTTTGTCAAGAAAATCCCAAGTGGGGTCACAGAGAGTCACGTGTGACTGAAAGGACTCAACACCAAGAGTAAGGTTGGAGTCACAGGAGGGGCGTCACTTGCGAGGAGATGTGACCTGCGCTCCCGTCTCTGCCCCTGCCTCACGCTGCAAGCGTGACCAAGTCATCCAACGTTCCTGGGCCTCAGCTTCCTCATCTGTGAAATGAAGGTTGGACCAGACAGCACCCAAGGACCTTTCCAAAGAGGAGAGTCTGCTGAGAACACATTTGGTTCTAGGGAAGGGGTTTCACGGGATCAGAGCTTTGGAGCTGGAAGGGGCGTTCAAGGCCCCTGTGCATGCTTTCAGGCCCTAGTTAGTGAATACTGAGACTGAGCAGGAGCTCAGGCCAAAGAGCCGAGATTCTAGACATGGAGCCCATCTGGACTGTGCCCCCTCCTCCACAGGGGACTTTGGACAACTCCCTCACCTCTCAGGACCTCTGTCGCTCTATGTAAAGTGAAGGGGCTGGACGAGGCGGCCCCTGAGACCCCTCACAGCCTGGGTGCCACCTCTGTAAGGGAAGGGGTTTGGACTTGCTGGCTGACCCAAGTCCAAGGTCCTAGAGTCCCCCGGGCCTCAGTTTCTCCATCTATAAAATGGAAGGGTATTGCGAGATGATCTCTAAGGTCCCATTTGCCTACAGATCTGCAATTCTTTGACCCCTGCCTTCCCCTCTCACGTTAGGTCCATGCTCCTGTGATCTCTTGCCATCTCTCCTTTCCATCAGGTGAGGCCAGGCTCTCCTCTGTCCCCATCATTCTTGAAGTTGGCTCAGCAGGGCTCCGGGGCTATAGCTTTAAAGCTCCCCTCCCCAATTCCCTAGGAATAATAATATTAACACAAGGCTCCATAACAAGTGGTATTTCTGTGCATGCGTGAGCGGCATTGATTTATACGGTTCTCCCCAGCCCCAGTTTGCCAGCAATATTAAAAGCAAGAGGGGAATTTTGGAAAATAGTCAGGATTAAAATGAACTGGCCACCATCCAGTATCTTTTTATGAGGGGATGAAGGGATGTCTCTTCCACAGCTGAGCTAATACCAGATTGTCATATTGCCCAAACATACAAATATCTTGGAAGATCCTTCCCTCTGAACCAGCTACGAGGAGTTAGTCTGAAACCACACCCCCTCCTTTTTTCCTTTACTGGGGCTTTGCGTAGGTCTCCTTTTGAAAATGAATTTAATATGTGAAGTAAATGGGGAGATTTCTGTTAGTTTAGAGTGTTCAATGAATAATAGTTTAGAATGTTATTTAAGGTTCCTATGGACAGAAGGGAGGTTGGTTTTGAATCTGAGGGCCTGGATTCGAATCACATCTTGGACACTTAGAGCCCATGTGACACTTGGCAAGTTGCTTAACCTCTCTGGTCCTCAAACTTCCTTATCTCTAAAATGGTGTTGGATCTGGTGACCGTCGAGGTCCCTTCTGGCTCTGGCTTCTTCTCCAAATCTCTGTGAGAACACAGGGAATGGGCAGCCATGCATGGGCAGCGTCCAAGAGCGAACACAAGATGCTTCGTGTTTACCCAGATAAATAGGGGTGGGGGTGGAGGGCTGGGGGCTGAGGTCTGACTGGCTTTAATAACCAATACCTGGCTGCTGTGCTTGCAAACTCCTTGGTCTCCCAAAGGGGAAGCATTTCTGGAATAGGCTTTGAGTAGTGCAGAAGAGATCATAAAAGTGGATTGCATTCTGGAGCCGCTGGCTTCACCACTCCCATCCCCCACGCCTCACAAAAGCCCAAATTGAAAAGAAACAAAAATCTCTTTTTACGTGCAGCTGAGCCTCTGAAGCCCTCGTGCTGTGTCTTCCCTGGAAGCACACACACATGCATGCACACGTGTGCACACGCACAACACGTCTGGTGTTCTCAGTCTGCCTCTCCTTCATGCCGCCATTTGCTTTTACAAAGGAAATCCAGAGAACAAGATTAAAAATGAAAGCCACACACTCTGGTCCTGCTTGGCCTGTCTAGCCTTTGCCTTTGCCATCATTGTTACATTTGCTTAGTGCTGGAAGACAGGGCTTAGCTTCTGCCCCGGGAGCACATGGAATGGCGTAGCCAGGGACACGTGGCGCCTTGCTCCCTCCTCCAGCTGTAGCCATCTGCGTGGTTTGGGATGGAGAGGAAGGACACCTAATCCGCACGCTTTGCATGGGCGTGCCCCAGCGGCTGAATGGGCTGAGCATGGCAGTGAGCCTTGGGATGGGAGTCAGAGCCTTGGCTCAGGCCCTTCTCTGGCTGTGGGCAAGCTCTGTGTCTATCCATAAAATGGAGACAATCACCTTCGGTTGTGTGTGCCCCGGGCGAGAGCAGTAGCATCAGCTTCGGAGAGGAGGAGAATTAGAGAGGCGGGGAGCCCAGACGGCTGAGCTGAAGCTCTGCTCCTGACCTCCAGGAAGGAGAATTGATCTTCCTGTCCCCAGGCATCTCACATGCTTGCTCACATCCTGCTCACATCCTGCTGAAATAGCCTCTCTGAAAACCCTCCCGATTGCTGTTGGGTCTTATCTGGCTTCTGTATGACAGTCCCTCAGGCACTGAAAGACAGCCACCAAGTCACCCCTAAGTCTTCTCTTTTCCAGCATAAACTTCCCAGTCCCTTTGATGGGACCCAATGAACTCATCCAGAAGCAGTGCTTTCCATGGAATTAACTCCAAATGCTACAAATCAGTACTCAGTCAGGAAGCATTTATTAAGCACCTACTATGTGCCAGGCACTGTGCTGAGTGCTGGGGATGAAAAAATAGGCAGATGGGTGGCATAGTGAATACAGCAGGGCACTTGGACTTAGGAAGAGCTGAATTCAAATTCAGCCTCAGACGCTGACCTAGCTATGAGACCCTGGGTAAGTCACTTAGGTTCTCTCAACCAGTTTCCTCTCCTGTAAAATTAGGATAATCATAACTCCTGCTCGCAGGGTTGTTGTGAGGATCCAGGAGGTAATATATGCAAATAACTTTGTGACGCTTAAAATGCTCCATAAGTGCCAGGCACTTCTGCCGTTATTGTTCATGATAATAATGGTGATGAAAAGCAGCCCCTGCTGTCCAGGAGTTCACACCTGCGAGCAGGATAGAGATGGGACACCCTGGGGTGATCTCAGGGGAAGGAGCTGAGTGTAAGGAGGACTGGGAAAGGCTCTCTGCACATCTCGTTGTTTCAGTTCTGTTGTTCGGTTCAGCCCCATCTGACTCTTTGTGACCCCATTTGGGGTTTTCTTGGCAGAGATCCTTAAGTAGTTTACCATTCCTTCTTCAGCTCATTTTATAGATGAGGAAACCGAGGCAAATAGGGTTAAATGGCTTGCCCGAGGTCACATAGCTAGTAAGTGTCTGAGGCTGCATTTGACTCATGAACTCTGTCTGACTGCAGCCCCCCTCATCCTCTCCACTGCTGAGACCCGAAGGAAGTCAGAGGCAGAAATGGGGAAGGAGAGAGCTCCAGGCAAATACTCAGAGGTAGGAGACAGAATTTCATGTGCAAGCAGCAGCGAGACGCCATTGTCACTGGAGCCCAGAGTCCCATCTATTGATGGTGTTACAGGACAAGAAAGGAAGGAAGGATTCAGATTACGAAGGGGTTGTTTGTTTGATCCTGGAGGTAATAGGGTACAACTAAAGTTTGCTGAATGAGTAGTAGTGACACAGTCAGGCCTTTTAGGAAGATCCACTCTGGCAGATGTGTGGAGGAGGTACGGCAGTGGGGAGAGGCTTAAGGCAGGGAAGCCCTCCAGCAGGCTCCTGAACTAGTCCAGGTGGGAGGTGACAAGGGCTTGCACAAAGGTTGCGGCAGTGTCGGAGGAGGGAAGAGAGGCTGTGGGAGAAATCTTATGAAGGTAAAGTCCACAAGCCTTGGCACCTGATTGGATCTGGTGGTGAGAATGAGGATTCAGGTGAGGGTGGCATCTGGGCTGTGGCACTCAGGGACTAGGGCTCTGGATAGTACGAAGTGAAGAAAAGGGGAGTATGGGAGGGGAAAGCTAATGAGTGTGACATGGCCAGGAGGCAAGTGGAGGTGTGAGACTAGAGGTCAGGAAAAAAGTTAGGGCTGGACAAATGGATCTGAGAATCCTCTGCACAGAGATGATCATTAAATCCATGGGAGCTGGGTAGATTACCATGCAAGTTGGTATGAAGGGAGAGGAGAAGAGAGGAGGGCCCAGGCAAGAGTCTCAACCTTCCACATTGTTAGGCTGCTCTTTGTCAAATCAGGGATTCTTAAAAACTTTGATTTATGTTTTTGAAAACACATTGTTTGCCATGGCTAATAGCTGTCATATGTCATCACTGACTGTTTTTTCTTTCCCAGAAGAATGATCATAGATTCATTAATTTAGTATGGCTGTATCCAAAGTTGATTGAGACCAGAGTCAACCAAAATGGCTCCTGTGATCTTTGACCAACACGGTGGCCTTGCTAGTGGTAGAAATGATGAGTGTGGATGAGGGTTGATGTGAAGGTAGCCTCGTTGCTTGGGTTCATGTCCTTGGCAGAAGAAGTGCGTCCATTAGGCATGTGAGTGTGTCTGACCTTGCTTCTGCTTCCCGTGTAGGTATGGGGCAGATGTGGACGTCAACCACTCCCTGGCTCCTGGAATGCCTCCCCCTTCTTCCCGACGCCTCACTTCCCTGGTGGTCTGCCCGTTGTACATCAGTGCAGCCTACCACAACCTGCAATGCTTCAAGCTGCTTCTTCAAGCTGGAGCCAACCCTGATTTCAACTGCCACGGCCCTGTCAACGTCCAGGGCTTCTGCAGGGGGTCCCCTGTCTGTGTAATGGATGCCGTTTTGCGTCATGGCTGTGAGGCTGCGTTTGTCAGCCTGCTGGTCGACTTTGGTGCCAACCTGAATCTGGTGAAGTGGGAAACCTTGAATGCTGAGTCAAGAGGCAGAGTGAAAGTGAACCCAGAAGCTTTGCAGGTTTTCAAAGAAGCCAGGAGTAAGTGCAGTGAGCTTAAGACCTACTGTGATCTTTATATTGATTCATTTATTGAACACCTACTGTGTGCATACTGTGCCAGGTGCTGGGATTAAAAAAAAAAATATGAACCACACGGACCCTGTCCTTAAGGGGTTACAATCTACTGGTTGGGGAATGGAGGATGGAAGAAGATATAGTCATATGTAACTATGATACAAAGTTAAGTAAGAGAAATCAATTCGATCCAGCCAGCATCTACTGTACATACTGAGCACTGTGCTGGGTCAGATCAATGCAAGGGACCATTCCAGCCAAAACACAAGGACAAATTTGAGGAGGGAGACACTGGGGAAGGAAAGGCAGGATGCTAGCAGGTATGGGGCAGGGACAAAGTTCATTTCAAGTACAGTGGATGGCATGAAGAAAGCAAGAAAGAAGGAGGAAAGTGGGAGGAGAATGGGAAATGGGGAACCACCCAATTGGCTGGAAAATAGAGTACATCATGAGGAGAAATGTGAGAGAAGGCTAGAAAAGGAGGCACACAGATAGAGTATCCCCCTGCCCCATCTAATTAGGCATCTGTCTGACCCTGGAGCCCTGGGCTTCTCATTGGTCAGAGTGCCTTTTATAGAGCTGGCCTCATACCCAACACATTGCTGCTCCATACCTGACTTCATGACAAGCCACCCAGCCTGTGCACCCTCACCCCAACCCCTTGCTTTCAACCTCGACCTCTGGAAATAGTGACTGAATGAATACCACTATTTCTGGAAAAGATGGCTCAGTTTCCATATGGCTCCATTTACCATCTCTGTGACTTCTCAGACCAAAACACCCCAGTTCTGTAGCCTCCACTCTCTTGGCCATGGTTTTCTCTCCTGCTAACAAATGGGATCCAGGCTGTGTCCTCGAGGAGCTTATATTCTTTCGGCAGGATAGATATGTTTGTCCCAAAGGACATGCAACGTCATGCAAGTAAGCTTTAGTGCTCATAAGCACGTTAGTCTCTGAGGTGATCCAGAGGGCAGGGCGTAGTCCCTGAGCTGTTCTCTGAAGGATGCCAAGGATTCTATGGAATAGAGCTGAAGAAGGGGTGCTTTCCAAGCGTGGGGGGCAATCTCTGCAAAAACTCAGAGGTGGAAGACGGATGTCATGTCTTGAACCCCAAAGGTCTCTTTCTGCTCCAGTCTTTAGCTGCGCGTGACCGTCCTCACACATCGTATGCCGCCATGTTAGCACTGAGCCCCCTTCTAACATCTGGATTTTTGGAATTCCTCAATGACCCCAGCTCTCTCCCTCACACCCAAGCCATCCTCTGTCCTCACCAGCACCTCTGGTTTCTTGGTCTATTGCTGTTCTTCCAGTCTTCTCTATGGTTTCTCTTGCTTTCATTGCTTTCCTTGCCCACATAGCTGGCTGGCCAGCTCATCTGTCATGCTAGCTAGGACTGCCCAAGCATCTTTTGCCCTGCTGTCCTAACACCATTCTTGGCCTGTGAGAGACACATCACCCTCCCATAACACCCACTAGCTCCTTCCTTTGCTCTTGCTCTGGGTTGCTGAGGCATTAAAAAAAAAAAAAGCCCTCACACACCTTCTCTGCCTTTGCTCCACATGTGTTAATTAGTTTCAGCTACACCTAGTCTGCCTTTATTGATTCCCTATCTCATTTCCCCCAGCACCTCTTCTCTTCTGTACCCTGTCCTCCTTACTCTGTAGTTCCAAGCCACCCAAATCTAGTACTTGTCACTGAGAAGACTAAGGTGATCTCACATGGGCTCTCTCCACTCTCCTCTGGTCCTAAAGTCATGGGAGCGTCTTCTTCTCCTCTTCCTTCTTCCTTGTGGTCACAGAAGAAGAATTAAGTTAGTCCTAGTCTTCCCCAAGGTGAATTTCTCTCCACATGTCCACCCTCCTCTAGGACCCTGCTTTAGCAATCACACCCTCTCTCTCTCTCTCTCTCTCTCTCTCTCTCTCTCTCTCTCTCTCTCTCATCTTCTACCTCTTTACCTACTTGTTTCCTACCCATTCTTTCAAGCCCAACTCAGGTGTGATCTTCTCATCCATTAGCTGATAACAGCCTTCCCACCCAGGCCTTAGTAGCATGGAATTCCCCAGGCTGTAGATGTTCTTTTCATGTAGTTTTCCATGTGATGGTCATTGGGATCATGGACTTTGCAGCTGGAAGGGTCCAGAGAGGTCATCTAGTTCAAACCCCTCATTTCACAGATGAGGAAACAGAGGTTTGAGGAAGTCCACTGACTTGCCCAAGGTTACACAGATAGTAAGTCCAGAGCCAGGCCTCAAACCAGGTCCCCTGATCCCAAATCCATGATTCTTTTCACTGAACCATCTTGTTCCATGAAGGCAGGGCCATGTCTTCTCTAAACCTTGAATCCCTCTAGTATCTGGCAATAAATAATAATAATAATAATAATGTGTGTAATAAATGTGTATTAATAAATAATAAAATAAAAATGTTTATTGAATGCCAGGATCGGCATTATAAAATTGAACACGGATGCAACAAATAAGATTTTCTTTATAAAATAACACCAGCAAAGCAATGTGGGAAATTGAAAAGAAATTCATTCTTTGTGGGGCACAGGATGCTCACAGTAAAATTTCCATGAGACCTTCTCACTTCTAGGCCTAAGGATTGAGGAGACAGGAAGGAAGAGCTTGCCACAATTACTGCACTTTCTGGAGAGGTCTACCTATTCAGCTGCCTTTTTTTGTCCCCCGAATCTAAACTCTTCTGCAGACGTGGTCTCCTTCACCAAAACTTGTTTGTTTTTCTAAATTATTTTTAAAATTTTCAGTTCCCAATTCTCTCCCTCCCTCCAACCCCTTCCCTACCCTACTTTTATTATTTTTGAAAGCTCTCTTTGAACTGCTCTGCATGAAAGCCTTCCTTCATTGCAGCACCTTGTTTAGAGGTGTGTGAGAAATGCCCCTGGGTTGGGCTGGCTGGCCTTTGAAGTATTTGGGTCGAAGGTTGCTCCTCAGGTAACTAAGGTTGTTGGGCTGACCTAGAGGCACTATTTGTTTGTGCTTCAATTACTGCACCAGGGATTCTTCTTTGCCTTGGCTAACGGCTGTGATCACTCACCCAAGAGGAGGCCATTCATTCCTACTTACCTGAAATCCTTGGGTTTTGGGTGAGCCCAAGGTATTAGGCGTATTTGCAAGGCGGCTAATTTGTTTCTTGACAAATATTCTGCAAGTCCAGCTAGCTCCTTTAGATTCCCACCATGGTTCCCCTACCCCTCCAGTCATTAGAATTCATTTGGCTTTCTTGGAATAAGAACCAGATTCCCCAATGGTTTCCTCCTAGATAGTAGAACATGGTCCACTCTGTAAAAATGGAATTTGTTTCCTTGGGGATGATGGTGGGGGTGAAGGGGTTGACTTGGATTCTCTCTATGAGTGACTGATGCCTACTAGTGAAGTGCATCCGCAGGGTCATACAGTAAGGAGGAGGAAACTGAGGCACAGAGCACTGTGGCTGACAGCAAGAGGCCCCCCTTCTCATTCTGACCAAGACACAAAGTTCTCCTATGATCATCGGTGATCTACTTTGTTCCTTTTTTACTACAATGATACCAGTAGTGATCATACCACACAGTCCAAAGTTCTGTGACCTCACCAGCATTGGTCTTCCCTCCTTCGACACAGATTGCATCCACCTAGCCCCACTCCTACCTCATAAATCTGTCGATCATCTTCTAAGGTTCATATTGTTGATGAATTCATCCTGGTGCGTGCCCTTTCAGGACCTAGTAAGGCTGGGCTTTGCAGAAGACCAGAGGATCTATATCATTGGATCTTTGCTCGAAGCCTTCCTGGCTTGGCCAGGCCTTCCAGAAGATGCATCTCTTTGATGTAGGTTTTCTTCCATTCCATGATGAGGGTGTCACTAGAGGGTGACTTTAATAATAATAATCATATTTAGCATATTTAGTGCTTTACATGAGTTATATTATCCTAATAACAGCCCCTGAGAGGTAGTTGCTATTGTTATCTTCATTTTCCAGATGAGGAACTGAGGCAAATGGGGTGAAGTGACTTGCCCAGGGTCACAGAGCTGGTAAGTGTCTGAAGCTGGATTTGAACTCAGGTCTCCCTGACTCCTGCACCAGCTGTCTTTCTGCTATCATGACCCATTGGACTTTAGTGCTACAACAATAACAATTTTATCCAATAATATATTCACAAAGAAGTCTTGAAGAAATGGCTATCTTCCCAGTGCCTGGCACACAGCAGGTGCTTAATAAATGCTTGTTGATGGGTTGATTGAGTCATGAGTATTTGTTTGTGGAAATAAAGGGACTCAGGATGGTGATTCATGATTGTGCAATGCCACTAGAAATTACAGAGGAGTTATCTTTGGGTGGGCCAGACTCATCAGTCACTACAGATTGTGAATGAAGTGGTGGAAACCATGCAAGGTAGCAGAGTAGGTCACAAAAATTTCTCATCTCTTGGATACCCAGAAAAACACAGTCAAGCTGCTAGAATTAGACACCAGAAGCTTGCTGTCCTTTGTAAACTAACAGACAGCAGATCTGCACACCACAAAGAAAAACACCCAAATAGCCTTAAGAATTCAGTAAATAAAGAACCCAACTGGAACTAGAGGATCATGACCATTAGAATTGTTGCTCATAGCTGCTCGCTCAGACGGGACTTTGGGCCAGAAAATCTAGAAGCAACATTTTTAATAGATGTCATCACACTGAAGACTCCTAATTTCCCCTTTTCGCTTAAAATTCCATTTTATTTTATTTTCCATTCAAAATTCTCTCTCTCCCTCTCCCCCTCCTCTGCCCCACCCACTGAGAAGCAAGAAAAACAAAGCTCATTACAGAAACGTATAGTCATGGTGCATAAATTCCTGCATTAACCATGCTTGGAAGAAAGAAGGGGGGGAGAGAAAGAGAGAGAGAGAGAGAGAGAGAGAGAGAGAGAGAAGAGAGAGAGAGAGAGAGAGAGAGAGAGAGAGAGAGAGAGAGAGAAACTGTTAAGAAATATCTCACATAGCTGTTGGTAAAAAAAAAAAGAGAAAGAAGAAAAGAAAGAAAGAGGAAGGGAGGGAGAAAAGAAGGAAGGAAGGAAAGAAAGAAAAATAGAAAAGAAAAGAAAGAAGGGGGGAAGGGGAAGCAAAAGCAACAATATGCCTTTACTTGAGCCCTTCAGTGTTCTCAGGTGGGTAACATACTTCATCACAAATCCTTTGAAACTGTGGTTTGTCATGGCGCTGTTCAGAGTTCTTCAGTCTTTCACATGTTTTTGAGACTCCATTTCCAACTCACTCAGAATAAAAAACTTTCAAAATAATGGAGACCAAACAGAAGACAGTGGAGCCCTGTGAAAACAGGCCTGGTCCCTGTGTCCTCCCTGACACCTCATCTCCTGCAGTTGTCCCAAAGACACTTTCAGGAGCCTCTGACCTCATATTCTCGTTCCATTAATAGTCATTTTCTCCCCTCAGCCATAGTCCACAGAACATTGTATATAAAACAAATAATAACAGGTTAAAGATTTGTCCTCCGACCATTCTATCTGAACTCCATTAAAAGAAAAAAAGATTAATGATAATAAAATAATCATCACTTATCAGTATTATTAATAATACCAAAATAATTGTTAAAATCAAACATGTATATTGATATATTATATACAAATATATTAATAGGTTGTATATATGTTAATTTTGAGCAGCAGCTTGGCACAGTGCCTAGACACTCTAGAGTAAGCATCTAACTTGTAGTCAGTAAGACTTGGCTAGATGGCAGCTAGATGGCACCATAGTGCATAGAGCACAAGTCAGAAAGACTCCTGCTCCTGAATTCAAATCCAGCTGTGTGCCCCTGGGCAAGTCACTTAACCCTGTTTGCCTCAGTTGCCTCATCTGTCAAATGAGCTGGAGGAGGAAAGGGCAAACCGCTGCTGTGTCTCTGCTAAGAAAACCCCACATGGGATCACAGAGAGTCAGATATGACTGAAAATGACTGAACAACAACAGCAAGACTGGGTTCGGGGGCTGCCTCTGCCATTTCCTAATGGTGCGACTCTGGAACGGCCACTGCTCCCTTTTGAGGCTCAGGTTGAGGCATCCCTGTTCAGGGATGATGACGACTAAGATTAGGGTTAGGAACACGGTGAGAGTGCTAAAAATCAGAATAATAAACACTGTCAAAGGGAGGAGAAGGCAATCCCAACCAGGGAATTCCGAAGCTTGGGGCGCTGGGCTGAGGATTCTGTGCCGTGCCCAGATTTAAACCTGCAGTAGCAAATACAGGCTTCCAATCAGTTTTTCTTTTCCTTTGACCAGCCCGGTGCCTCCGTCAGCCAGACACTGTGATAATACTCAGGATACAAACAAAAGGCAGAAACGGTGCGTGCCATCAAGGAGCTCGCGTTCTTATATCTCGCTCGCGTTCTTATATCTCACTTTGGCTCTTCCCAGGGAGCTCCCTGAGGCAGGGCGGTGGCTCCGAGAGCCGGAGGTCGGGGCTGCTCAGTGCCTGGATTCCATCTCGTGGAGCTGGCTCGGTGGAGTGACTCTTTCTCTTTCCTCTTCCTCCTCTCTAGGTGCCCCCAGGACCTTGCTATGCTTGTGCCGGGTGTCCGTGAGGAGGGCTCTCGGCAAGTGTCGGCTCTACCTTATACCCTCTCTCCCCCTCCCTGATGCCATCAAGCAGTTTTTACTTTATGAGCAGAGTTAAAACGCAGACGCGATTGTGGGGATGCTTCTCAAGGATGAAAGCAGGTGACCTGAGAACCAAATTGGTGTCTGTTCATTGCTCTCCATCTCACACCCCGAACTGTTGAGAAGTATTCCAAGGAGCTGCTGGTAAAGAGGTAGCCTCGGTTAGTGCTGATGTTAACCAGCCCGGTGCTTTTGTCAGCGTGCTGTGTTTTGTGAAGGATCTCTCAACTGACTTTGATCTAGCCTTGGCTTATTTTCAACGGTGGGGCTATTCCTATATTTTCTTTTCCTTTGATAACCCTACGTGTAATTTTCATAGCTGAGATGTTGCAACCACCTGCATATAATCAAAACTGGGGATGGAATGTGTATCGAGGGTATCGGTTGGGTTCCAGAGGTCAGCTAATGCCTCCATAAGGATAGTGCAATTAGCAACCTGGTGGTGTATGTGCTTCTGTGTGTATATATATATATATATATATATATATATATATGTATATATATATATATATATATATATATATATATATATATATATTTCTAAAGTGAAATGTTTACGTCAATATGTGATGGATGCAAATAATTAATTTTGGGAAAATACATTTAACCCAAGGTAAATGTTAGTCAACAAGCATTTATTAAATACTTACTGTGGTCAAGTCCCTGTGCTAAGTGTTGGGAATACAAAAAAGACAGACGTTGTCTTTGCCTCAAGGCACTCATATTCTGATGGGGGAGATAATATGGAGGATGTAGGCAGAACAGGTCAAAGGTCATCTTAGAGGGGAGGAATGAGCAAAAAATGTCCATTGTCCTCTGTTGAGAGATTAGCTGGCATATGGTATTTAGAGGTGTGATATTTCACAAAATCACAGAATTTGATAGTGTTCCAGAACCTCAGTGGTCATCTCATGGGTCATCCAACCCAAACCCGAAAACAACCCCTACTATCACATACTCAACCAACATAGATATTTGTCTGCTCACATAGTCTTCTACACTCACAATGGAATTGCTTGTAATGGCTGCCAAAGATGTCATGGCCCAGATTAAGGGAGACAAAGGTCCAGAAGAAAGACGATGACATTTTCCTTGACCTCAGCCCTTCCCACATCCAATATGCAACATTGGGTTCAGTCTTGGGGAAATATTTTAGGAACAAGAGTGAGGAAGACTCAAGGGAGGGCAACCAAGATGGAAAGGGCATTGAATTCCATGCCGTCTGATGGCGGTTTTAAGGAATTGGGGATGGTCAGCCTGGAAAAGACAAGCCTTGGGCAGGACGTGCAAATGGTCTTCAAGAATTTGAACAGCTACCACATGGAGGAAACAACTGACCTGTTCTCTTTGTCCAAAGCAGGCATAATGGGTGGCAGTCAGCTAGGCAAATTTATGGGAAACTTTGTAAGAAATGCAGCTGTTCCAAAGTGGGAGGGAGAGCGTTCTCTTACCAGGTCTTCATGCACTGTCCCAGTGGCCCCCTTTGGGGCGGTGTTAAGTAGCTTTGCTTTTCAGATGGGGTTGCATTAAACAGCATCTCCAGCCCCTTCTCACTGACACTTTTCCTTCTGCAGTCTGTCTTTCCTCCCTTGGTGAGTCAGACTGACTAGCTTCCTTTGGTCACTTCTTATGTCCTTTCAAAGATCCTTTCTCAACTGTATTGATATCAGGTTAAACCTTGACCTTTATCTTCCCTGAATCCATACTTGGAACAGTCACAAGTGCTGAAATATCAGTCCAGCTATGAGAGCCTGGAGTGCCTCCCAATTTCTCCATTTTCCATCCCCTAGATGAGACAGCTGTCACAAAAAGATGGGTCAGTTTCAGAGGCTATAACCAAAAAAAGAACCAATATTTAAGCACTTATGAAGCACCTGCTATATACAAGGCATTGCGCTAAGTGTTGGAGATATAGAGACACCAAAATGAAACAATGCCTGCCCTCTAGGACTTTACATTATGTAAGGATTATCCAATACGCACCAGTCTACAGGTAGAAGAAGTGTTATAACAACAGCATTCACTGCCACCACATACAGGACAATCAGTCAAGGAACAAGCTTTGATTAAGCACCTACTATGTGTCGATGTTGGGGATGCAAAAGCAAAGGTGAAAGTCTTTGTTCTCAAGGAGCAGCTGTTTTGTTGAGGGGAGGGGTGGGATAAAAGGCCTAGGGCTCTGTTGCAATAACACGAAATACACACGTGGTCGTTTCAGCTAGCTGTGTGGCTGCTTCCAAATTCCTAGATGTTTGGTGCTAGACGCATAGATTATTCTGGAGAATTGATTGCATTTGTATTTTGGCTCTGCCATCTTGGTGTCCCAGGACTCTAGGGTCCTGAGAGAGAAGCTCACAGAATCCTCCCCATTCTGGAGCTGGGAGAGACCTCTGAGATGTTCTACTAGGCACAGGGGAGAAACTGAGGCTCAGAGGAGAGAAGAGAGTTCCCAGAGTCACACAGTATCACGATAATGACACTTCTATAGTACTTTCAGGTACTGCTTACAAAGCACTGTATATATATTGGCCCACATGATTATCACATCAGCCCATTAAGGTCTATAGATAGTACAGAGGGCACTTAGGTCTTATATATGAGGAAACTGAAGTTCAGAGAGCACAAATGAGCTGCTTAAGGTCACACCCGGAACAAGGGTTGGTGCAGGATTTGAGCCTTTCTCACTCTGAATCCCAAAGTCAAGCATCCTACTTTTTCGGGTTTATTGATGAGCTGATTCTTGCTCAAGGATGGGCTGGCTGGTTAGCTTCAGACGTCCTTTCCATCTCTGAGATCCTGTGATCCTCTGATCTGCACTGTTGTCCAAGGATTCTCAGGTATCCTGGTATCCTTAGACATCTGAGTCTCTGAGGCTGGACTGCTTAACACTAAAGCAAATGGTGATTTAATCAATCCAATGAGAAATACAAAAATCAGTCAAACCAGTTGTGTGATTGAATTGGTCAGTTCAGGTGGAAAACTAGAGCCACTTATATGTATAACTGGAATTAAATCCTAGCTCATTGGCCCAAAGTGACATGACCTCCCACACCACAGTGGCCTCCTCTGAGGTCCTTTCCACCCTGATATCTATGGACTTACCTTGGGATTAGCACAATTTAATGAACATTTATTAAGTGCCTCTGATACATGTACAAGGAGTTCACCTTCAGAGGAGCGTGGGATGCTTGAGGGCAGGGACTGAACCATTTTATTTTTGTCATCATATCCCCAGCACCTGGCACAATGACTGGCACATTGTGGGCACTTAATAAATTCTTATAGATTAATTAGAAATGCAGTGGTGCTGTGCCAATGGGGTACAAAGCTATAAACAAAACCATCCCTGCCTCCAAGGAGCTTACATTCTACTGTACTCTTCTGGTTTGAAATTTGTCTCTATGGCACTGGCACCATTACTCAATAAAATGCTCTTGGTCCATCATAAGCAGGTATGGAAAGATAGAACCAGAGAGGACATTAATGGTTGTCCATTTCCCCTCCCCCCATCTCATTTTCCAAAGGAAGAAATTGAGTTTAAGAGAGGGGAAATGACTTACCCAAGGTACCATAGGGTGAGATTTGAACCTAGATCCTCTGTCTGCAGATCTAGAGCTCTTCTTTCCATGTAATCATTTAAGACATGTAGAAACTGGGTCAAACAGAGCCATCAGACTGTGCTAGAACATGGCGTAGAAGCCCAGTTGAACTCAGTTAAAAGCAAGATACAGTGGGTAAATTTTGAGGTGGTTCAGGACCATGACTTACTCATTACCAGGTTCCCAAGTTTAATTTCTGGGTTCTCAAGCAAAGTGTTGTGAGGGCCCTTCTCCCAACCTAGCCCCTTGTTATGTATCCTGGGCCCCTCTTCTTTTCATGGACACCTTGGGGTTTCCATAAATGTCTGAATTTCCCAGTGAATGAATTGTGAGTCAGTCAAGGCCCCATGCTCTCCCATCCCACACTGTGCAAATAAACTGGAAGCCATTAAAAATTTGCTGGTAGGGCGTTGGGGGCCATGAGCACAGCAGTGAAGCCCATCTTCAGCCAGGACCTGAACGAGGCCAAGCGGTGGGTGCAGGAGCTGTACTGGGCCTGGTACCACGAGGTGCCCACCACCGTGCACCTTTTCCAGCTGGACATCTCTGTGAAGCAGGGCCGGGACAAAGTCCAAGAAATGTTCATGAAGAACGCCCCATGTTACAGACCCTCGGGTGGTGGATCGCTTGGTCTTAAGGGGAAGATGGAATTGGAGGAGACAATTAAAGTCTGGAAGCAGCAGACCCACGTTGTGCGGCTCTTCCATGAAGCAGAAGCCCCCCGACCCAAAGATTTCCTCTCCAGATTCTATGCTGGCCATGACCCATGATGTGCCTCTGGAAAGGGGCACATTGGTATTTAATTCTAATACTGCAAATAAACTCTATGGTGGAAAAAAAATTGCTGGTAGACACACATCTTCTTGTTTGCCATGACTGTGAATGATGTCATCTGGAGGAAGAGAGGTTTCAGAGGCCTGGGAGGAGCCTGAGTGAACTGGCCACATATCAGAGACCCAGGAGAGATGGAGCCCTGAGTGCTCACATCGGCTCAGCTGGGCCACTGACCCGTCACCTCGAGGGGCAGCTGGAGACGTTCCTGAGCACATGCTTCAGATGGCACTAGGAATGCATTGGGCAATGATGGGGATGCTTGGAATTCAGGTTCTGCAAACTCGGGGTTTCACTGTGGCTGATTCATGGGAAAGGGCGCAGCTAGCTTCATTATACTATGTCACTGCATAGTGGTTAGGGAGCCAGCCCCAAAGTCAGGAATTCCTAAGCTCTGGTCCTATTTCTGACATCTACAGGGCTGGATGACACTGGGCCAGTCCCCTAGCCTGTCTGTGCTCTAAATATCCCTCCAAGACTAGAAACTGTGGAAAAGGTGCTGGTCTGTACTGGTGGAGTTTCCTTGGCCAGGAAGCCCCTAGAGCACTGGAACCAGGGATCTGTTCCCTGGCTCTATCCTTGTGTTGATTTTGGTCTGCAGCTATAGTTTCACTGATGTGTGGATACCCCCTCCCCTGACACAGATTAGCCACTCATCTGAACCCTGTGGTCTGAGAGTATGCCTGGGGCATTGAGAGATGAAGTGGCTTGTCTGGGATGATTCAGTCAGTAGAGTCAGAAGGAGGATGGAGAACCAAGGCTGGTCCTCTGTTCACAACATCAAATTCAATTTACTTCTCTTTTCCCCAAATTCATTAATTCACATTCTTTCAACAATCTTTTATTAAAATCCACCAATGGTCAATCCCAAGGGCCCCACAAACATAAATGGCAGGGTCCCTGCCTTCAGGCTATTTTAATTTTATGGAAGGTTCCGGGCTTTGGGTGGCCAGAGCACCCCCTGCTCACTTGGGGGTGATTTACACCTCGTTACCAGTTTGGACATTTGGGAAATTTCATGAAAATTCTGACTTTTCAAAACTGGGGCCTTTTGTGAACCCGCCCAAACCCCACTCATTTTCCAGGTCTGTAATGGCTGATGGCAGAGAGGGTCAGCTTCTGTTACTGAGCAGAATGCCAGCTTTTAAAGGTGTTTTGCTCCTTACAGATTGTGAGCTGACAAAATAGAAGGGTGGCGGTGAGAGAGGGAGGAATGATACATGTGGCAGAGGACATGGCTCAGGAATCAGAAGACAGACTCCAAACTGCAGGGGATCCCAGAGACCAACCGATCCATGCCAGGCTCGATGAAGGGCCCCTCCACCAGCAAAGGATAGGTCAGCCTCTGAGCTTGAATACATAGTCTACCAAGTGTAATCTCCAGGACTTTGGGAAAATCATGTTTGCTTCTCAGTTTTCTCATCTGTGAAATGGGAATAACAATACCTATAAGATAAATGTGATGGCGTGTATGGGAATCCTTTGTGAACTGGAAATAGCCAGGTGGATTCAGCTGCTCCTATCATTGGTGGTGGTGGTGTTAACCTTTTCTGTTAGAAGATAATAGTGCCATAAATATGTGTTTTTCAGGAATACAGGGTGCCCAATTGTGCCTCAGTGGGACACAGACCGGGGGGTCTCTGTGGATGGAGCTTACATGTTTATACAGGATTCTAGGCTTTAGAGCAAGGAAGTCTTTAAAGGACAAACCTGTCATTTTTCAGATGAGAAAACTGCAAGAGTGAGTGACTTCCCTGAGTTCAGACAATCCTCACGTGTCAGGGCTTGAAACCAGGTCTTTCTGATCTGAGGCCTGATCTCTACCACCCCATCCTACCTCTTCATGATGATTATTATTACTATTACTGAACCTCACAACAACCTTAAGGCATGGGTGCTGTTATTCTCCCCTTTTTACAGATCAGGAAACTGAGGCTTGGAGAGGCTGAGAACTCGCTGAAGATCACGCAGCTAGTCAGGGTCAGAGGAGGCTTGAATGCAGGACTCTGGTTTCCAAGTCCAGCCTTTGATCGACTATGAGAGACGTGCTGCCACAACCAGCTTCTGTAGAAGTAAATAAATAGCTAAGAAAAGTGTAGACTGCCCATTCAACGTGATTTTTCTCCAGTGGATCTCACCTAACACATGTGGGTGCCCAGTATGGGAACTCTTCCTTTTCTCATCTTCTGATGGGGCTCAAGTCTCACAGACAGGCAGCTGGTGATAGAGGTCTCTGATGCTGCTCCCCTTCTGTTAGACCCAGGCTCTGTCCTATGGCACAGTGATCTCTCCTGGGAATGTGGCCCAAAAACTTTGGCATGAGCAGGAGGGCCTCTGTCTCTGCAGGTGATGGGATGAGGGCGATTGCAGGATCCTCCATGTGGAGCTGGAGGGAGCTCAGAGGCCACCTAACCCAACCCCCTCACTTTTCAGAGGGAGCCTGAGCTCTGCTCATTAATCTCCCACACCAGTACTGATAAGTTGCTTTGGGCATCAGTAGTACACAGGTATCCCAGACTGGCCCAAGAGATGCTTTTTAGTGGGACCCTGGCTGCCACCAGGGTCTTAGGCCAAGCTGGAAAGTTTGGAAAGCTTCTGAACTCCGCACAGAGCTAAGGTGGGGCATGCAGCCAGCCCCTGATCCAGGACTGCCAAAATTTAGAGTGTGCCAGGGACATTTGAGTTCCTTGAGGAGGTAGAAACCCCTGAGCTTGGGTTCCACTTAGCAAGAATAACGAAGCTAGCAAGCTTCCCAGAGTGGCTTTCCTCCTCCTGGCTGCCAGGATTGTTTGTGCTCTGCTCTATTCACTCACTCTGCTTTCCCCCTAGATTTCTGGTATACTGGGGTCTCTCTCCACCCAGCACCTCAGTTCCTCTGACTGAGGCCACCATGTAGGGTCTCTGCTTCCACTACTGGGTTTAAAAAAAATATTGACTGGGGATCTGTTAGCCCTGGGCCCAGCTATTCCAGTCCTTGTCCAGTAATGGAGCCATGACTTTGCCCCTGTCCCCACCTCTCCTCCAATGCCCAGCCCCTGATGTTACCTTCTGGTCTCCTCCATATTTGCACTTCCATTAACCTTTCCTGATCTCCTCTGACCTTCATCTAAGCTCCTAATGAGAGAGGGCAGCTGCCTAATTCAGATACCTCAATCCAATCCAATTCAATGAGCATCTCTTAAGTACCTACTATGTGTCAATTACTGTGCTAAGTTCTTGGAACACTGAGGAAAAAAATCAACCATCCCTAACCTCAAAAGCAGGGATTGTTAAAAGATTATTTGATTCTTTTGGAGGGGAGGTGGGATGAAGGATGCTTTACAGAGAGGGGCAAGTGAGCTGAGGCCTGAAGGAAGTCAAAGACTGAGAGGCACAAGTCAATGAACAAGCATTTGTTAAGCACCTACTATGTGCCATGGTGCTGGGCCACTGACAGAAATGCCTCAGTACCTGGCTCAAAGAACTTCTATTCTACTGGGGAAATGCTTCATGTCCACAGCTAAGTTAAGTACAAGATAAGTGCCAAAAATGTAGAGATGGAAAATTGTATGACCTTCTCCTGGAAGCTGGTTGTCCTGGGGTCTAGTTTGACTCAGGACACCTTAAATGAGGAATTCTGGGAAGCTAGGTTTCTTCTGTGTATGGCTTCTTATTGCCTTAAAATAAATTTGCTGCCTCTCTGCCATGTATAAGCCCCTTCCTTTCTGTTAAGGATCTGATCTGAGAGAAACTTAAGGGTGTGGCTTGTCTGAGGAAGACTGTGGGTGCCCTGATTTCAGGAATGTGCACTTAAATACATCTTCATCGTATATCGTAGTAGTTTGTTATAACAATTATTGCCTCTGTCTGAACGCATACTCCATTCTCTCCTATTTACACAGCCCTCGAGTGCTGGGTCTGACATGTTTCCTGATGATTGTTGAGCTCTGGGTAAATGATGTGATCCCAGAACAAGATATTGGCTAGAAGGAATGGCCCTTGGGTCAACATTTTCCCCCCAATCTGCTGATGAGCCTGTTTCCTGGCCCTTCACGCTCACTATTTCTTGCATCCATTTCAGAAGGGCAAGACTCACTGTCCTGCGTGTTAATGTGCTGTCACCTCAATAAAGGTTGTGTTTCCCTGACTGTGGCTGCCAAACTCCTCTTTTCTTTGGACCATTCATTTAGGCAGAGAGCTGTGCTGATGCTTATGCATGCACTTGGTGAACACATTTCAGCCAGAAAAGACTTACATCTGAGAAAGGAGAAGGACTTTAATTTACTTCAGCCTGATACTTGACAAATTATTTTTGAGGAAAAGAAAAGGTCTCCAGTTGGGCATGGTGATCAACACATGGAATCCCAGATATATGTGGAGGCTCATGGATCGTTTGAGCTGGGGAGTTCTGAGTTGAATTAGGATTCCACCAAATGGGGGTCTGAGCTCCAGCTATATGGGTATGGAGAGGGCCACCAGGCTGCCTAAAGAGGGGTGAACCATTCCAGGTCAAAGCTCCCATGGGGAGAGTGGTAGCCCATGAAGGACCATTGCATTTCCAGTGATAGAGGGAGACTCAATCTCCAAAAGCAAATGAGTAAATAAAGAGCAATACCAGAACTTCAGTGTTCAGCTGGTAGAGAAGATTTTTTTTTCACTAGTGCTAGATCGAGGTTTATAACTTAGGGCCCATGAAAAGAGTTCATGGGATGTGTGACCTCGGATGAGAATAAAATTACATCTTTATTTTCACTAACCTTCCACTTAATTATTTAAAGACATTCTTCTGAGAGGCCTCCATAGTCTTCATCAGATTGACTGCCAAAAGGGTTTAAGATGCCAAAAAATTAAGAACTTCTAGGGTAGGTGATAGTAGAGAAAACTCTGTGGTTAAGGCAGGACCCAAAGAACATTTGGATGCTAAGAAATTAATGGGCCTCTGGTCTGATGATCAATGTTACAGTTCACTCTGGGTGAGTTCTCTGGGACTAATGACTCCCAATGACGGGTTTGGAGGACTCTATAGATCCTTTGTGGTGGTGGTGGGAGGAGGTTGACATTCTTCTGAAGGGAAACAGTCCAGTTCAATGGAAAGGCAGTTTCAGTGAGCCCGGCCACCCAGACAAGGTTCTTCAAAGATAGGGACAGCCTTAGGATCACTACAGAGTTAACCACCTGCACAGTCCATGTAGCTCACAGTAGCAGCGGGGGCCAGATTCCAGTAGGTCTGCCATGTTTGGGGTGATACACAGAACTAATGATAGAGCCAGAAAGGACTTTAGAGGCAATTTCATCTTGCTCCTTCATTTTGAGGATGGGAAAACTAAGCTCTGGCTTAGATCCCTCAGCTTTGAGGACTGGCTGCTCTTATCCTCTTCTCTTCCCACCTGAGGCAGGAAGGAGCTCTCCTCTCCAGGAGCCCTCATTCAGGAATGAAGGTAGAACTTTTTGCAGAAGATTGGTCCAGGAACTCCTCTGAAGGATGATTCCTCCTCTTGGGGCTCTTACACTGTTGTCACAGCCTCTCCTTAGCCACTCTCTCTGACTTTCTCATTCCCCCACCCCCAAAAAATTCAACCTGCAAACTGTGAGCCAGTGAGCTTCACTTTAATTCCTGGTGAAATTCTAGGATGTATTATTAAAAGGATGGTTAGTGATGGAAGTGATAAGAGAATCCCAAAGGACAAGCCTGGCTCCAGCAAGACAAGGCCATGCCAGACTAACTCCCTTTGCTTTTTTGATGGGGGCTGGTAGAACAGGGAGGTACTAGAGATATTGATCACCTGTGCTTTAGCAGCACATTTGACAAAGTCTCTCATGCTCTTCTTATGGAAAAGATGGTGAGACATGGGATGGACGATAGTGTCATGGGTGGGTTCAGGACTGATTGAATGGCCAGAGTCGAAGGATAGTTACTGTTGATTAAATGTCAGTCTAGGTTTTTCAGATTCATTGCACATTCTTCCCCTCATATACTCTAACTGGATTACTTTCTGTCCACCACATTCCATGTCCCAGCACTGTACCTTTGTATAGGTTATCCCCCATGCCTGAAATTCCCTCTCTCTCCTTGTCTCTACCTCTTGGAATCTCTAGCTTCATTCAAGACTCAGGTCAAATGCCACCTTTTATGTCTTTTCTGAATCTACCAGCCATTCCCTCTGCCTTGAAGTGATTTTTTTTCATTTGCTTTGTTCTGCACATAGTATCCCTACCTTACTCCCTTTCTCAGTAGAAAATAAGATTCTTGACAGCAGTGATGATTTCATTTCTTTTTTTTTGTATCCCTAGTGGCAGAAGAGGAAGGAAAAAAGCAAAACTTGAAAAAAAAGCAATATTAGAAACAGATAGAGGAAAACATTAACCTCACTCATAACTTTAAATATGAAGGGATTAAACAATCCAATAAAATGAAAAAAAAATAGATGGATTAGATAAGAAAATAAAACCCTATAATCTGTTGCTTACAACATTCATGTTTCATAGACTTGAGAACTTTCACTATTATGGTTGTTCTCCTCTGGACTCTCTCTTTCCTAAAATATGACACCCAAAAATAAACACAAGCCCTTTCTTTCTTCCTCCTTCCTTCCTTCCTTCCTTCCTTCCTTCCTTCCTTCCTTCCTTCCTTCCTTCCTTCCTTCCTTCCTTCCTTCCTTCCTTCCTTCCTTTCTTCCTTCCTTCCTTCCTTCTTTTTCTTTCCTTCCTTCCTTCTTTTCTTTTCTTTTGAGTTCAACAGTCATTCCCAAACAAAAACAATGCATTCTTCCAGACAGTACTCCCACTTTTTTTTTCAGTGAGCAGCCACAAAATTCTAGAATCATCAAATTAATGGAAATTTCTGATATAATCACAATAAATGTGGGGTAGTAAACCAGTCATCTAAGGGTCAGATGATTTCAAGTCAGCTTTTCAGCTTCAGTCATGGCCACACATGGATAGACTTGGTGCTTTTGGTCATGATATGGTATTCACCAAAGTCTGAATGATAGTCAGACAGTCAACAAGCATTTATTAAGCTGTCACTATGCTCTAGGCACTGTACTAAGTAGAGGGTAGGGAGGAGAAGGTACCTGGACAACAACATGGAGTCTGTCTGGCAAGTCAGAAGTAGAGCCTGTAGAGGAGTGCAGGATGGCTAACCTAGACTTTTTCTCAAAATGGATGTTCTAGAAAGAACTGACCAATAGGAAGAGAATGCTGCAGGGGTGGGAGGTTCTTCCAGGGTGAGAAAAAAGCTAAGGTATGAGGGTGAGGTTTGGGAAGCCAAGAGCAGGGTCTAGAGAAGAAGGAAGGAAGGAACGAATCAGTTAATAACCATTTATTTCTGTGTGCCAGGAATCATGGCAGGCACTGGGGATACAAGGACAAAGAAGAAATCAATTCTTACTCCAAAGGATCTTAAAATCCAAAAGGAGAGAAAATAAGTAGTGATATATGTATACACACATACACACACACACACACACACACACATATATATATATATACATACATACATACATATACACACTAAATATTTGCCTTTATTAAATTTATATTTATTATAGATGTGTTTATTTTATATATTTACTTTATTAAATTTATATTTATACCGTATATGTGTATATAGAACATATATTTAATGTGCAACATAAATTTAATATACAGCATGAATAGAAATTTAATAAAGGCAAATATCTACAGAGTAGTTAAATTTACATTCATGCTATATATATACAGCATATATATGTGTGTGTGTGTGTGTATATATATATGTATGTATGTTGGAATATGTATATATGTATGTATGTATTGGGAGAAGGGTTAGGGAAGGAGGGCACCAGCAGTGGGAATATTTGGAAAGGCTTCATGCAGAAGGCAATGTTTGAGTTGTGTTGTAAAACAACTCTCTGGCTTTGTTTTTGTACCTATTTAGACTCTAATTAAATCCAGGTCAGGGGTAGATAAGGCAGGGGACAGGGAAGATGGAAAAACTAAGTATAAATAACTAATAACACACTATCTGGAGGTACGCGTAGGAAGCCGGGTCTCTGGCTAGCTATTTGGAGATGTTTGTGCCCCGCGGATGGAACTCTCGCTGAGTGAATAGTCTACTCTTCAGTTCCAAATCCAGTCTATCATAAGGACAAGTAATGTCTGGGGGCAGCTATGTGAGGGTGGGTACCCTTTATTGGGATAGATGGATGGGCAGCAGAGAGCACCAAGCCTAGAGTCAGGAAGACCTGAGTTCAAATCTGGTCTTAGTCACTTACTAGCGATGTGACCCCAGATGACATTCATCTCTGTGTGCCTCAGTTTTCTCATCTTTAAAATGAGGATAATAATGGCACCTATCTCCCAGAATTGTTGTGAGGATAAAATGAGATAAAAATTGTAATGTGCTTAGCACAGAACCTGGCACATAGTAGGTGCTATATAATTGTTTTTATCATCATCACCACCATCATCTTTATCATCTTCATCATCATCATCACCATCATCACCATCATCATCGCCAACATCGTCATCATCACCTTCCTCATCATCATCAACAACAACAAGATTGGGAAAAGTGAATGATGTGGCTAAATGCTGGAGCAGGTGAGGACTGCAGGACACAAGAGCTGGGAGAGATCCAAGGGATCCCAGGGCTTGCCTGTTGCATAGAAGTTGCAAAGTGCTTGAAGATTGATCATCGGATTGACCTGCTTATGTACTCCAAGAATCTCGGAGGAGGAAGGGACCTCAGCAACCAACCAGTATAACCCTTGCCTGAATAAGAATTCCCACAACAATATCCCAGCAAGAGGTCACAGCCTCTGCTTTGAGACTTCCAGGAACAGGGAGCTCACTACCTACCCAAACAGCCTCTTTGGGACAATTAATGATTAGGACATGTTCTTCTTATATCCAAACTAAAAGCCTTCATTTTTTAGAGATTTGAGGCACAGAGGTAAAGTGGCTTCTAGACGGTAAAGTGGACCTGGAGCTAGGAATATACCTGAGTTGGAATCTTCCTCAAATCCTTACTAGCTGTTTGTCACTTAACTGTTCTGTGCCTCAATTTCCCCATCTATAAAATGGAAATAATAATGCACCTCCTTCTCAGGGATTTTGTGAGAATCAATGGATATAAGTGCTGTAAAGTACTTTGCAAACCTTAAA